TTCACAAGAACTTTTAAGCCCTTTCACCTGACACTTTCCACTTTTCCTTGCTTTCCCTTCCACTTTCCCTTTCCTGACCTGGGAAATTCCTATCCATCCATCAAGATCTAGCTGAGATGTCTCCTCTCTCAGGGGTCCTCTCCAAACACCCATCACTGCTAACACAAAGCTTCCCCCTTCTGGTGCCTTGAACATGAATCCAAATAGTGACCCAGCCATTTTTAGTCATTTCTGACTTCATGTTCTTTTTCAAGATGCAGACAATTTGGGGGAAGGCCCCAACGTAAGGTCCCCTTAATAGATCTGCTGGCTCCAGGAAGGCAAAGTTTGCTGATTCAGGCACCATACTCGTGCCTGCCCCAGATCCACAGTGGGGAATGAATGGACACAAGTGCACCCAGATGACTTCGTTAAAGAGACCTACCTAGGGCCAGAGACAGCTCAGTGGGTAGGGCGTTTGCCTTGCATGTGGACAACCTGGGTTCGATCTCTTGTATCCCATATGGACCCCTGATCACCACTAGGAGTGATCTCGAAGCACTGCGGATGCGGCCCCCAAACAAAAAGCAGCAAGAGAGTTACACGTCTTTAGGTCCCGTCTCCAAAAGTCCGTCTGACCTGACATGGTCACTCTCCTCTGGAACACAAACAGCAGATGGGCAGATCCCGGAAGGGAGGAGACCTGGTGTGACCACACATGGAGACCCAGAGAAGTCTGGTGGGGTGGCAGAGTCACGGAGAGCTACCGGTCTGGGAGCAGTTAGTGCAAATATCCAGAGGAGCAGGTGGGCCACTGAGCACCAACACTGAACACACCGGCAAAAGGCTGGAGCGGCATTCAGTGCAAGATCGAGGTCAAGTCTCATACAATTTTATGCACCCAGAGGGCATCAATGTATCAACATTCAATCCTGGAACATGTTTGAAGCCAGGACCTGAGTCACCAAGAAGTGGCTAAATGAGATTCAATGAGATTCACGACACTGTCAACAGGATGGCCAAGAGCAAATACATTTTAGAAACATTTCTTTCTAAAAAAAACAAAACAAAAAGGCGGATTTTCTTACTGATATTAGAGATTAAGATAGCAAATTTTGTTACTGAGACCACATGGTTCACCTTATTCTCCCCCCCCTCCCCCGCAAGGTTGGTCAAGGCTGGTTTCAAGGACACCCGGGCACATGATGTTTACAACAAATGAGCGTTTTACATTGTAGGTACCTGGGAGCGGATACAGGGGGACCTTTGAGAGAAGTGACTTTAGGGCATTCCAAGATGTCTTTAAGACACCCCAGTTTCCTGAGTTAGCTCGAAGCCACTGAAACGAAACAGGCTTGTCCAGTTTTCTCATTGGAGCCTGACTGTCCTGTTACCCCAGTGACCCCACCCCTTCCAGAGCCTTCCCTGGGGTTTAAGTTCTAGGTTCCTGGTTCTTAAGGCTCTGCTTAACTTCTATTTGGACATGGAGGGTCTGACTCTGACTTTGTTCTCTATTTCTACCTTCTTATTCCCACACTGTGGTGACACTTCTGGAAACTCTAAAGACTAGCCGTGCCCCCTTGATCTGTTTTATACCTTTCTCATTCCTTCCCGGACCGCATCAAGTCAAGCTGCATTCCTATAGCACTGGACTCTGCTATACTTTCTGGCACATGCCTCCAAATACATTATCTTGTTTGAATTTGGTTCCCTGAGGGGTGACATGTTCTTTTCTTCTTTATATATATAGATTTTGGGCCACATCTGGTGGTGTTAGGGTTTACTCCTGGCTCTGTGCTCAGGGATCACTTCCGGCAGGAGTTGGGGGACCAAATGCAGTGCCTGGCATAGAACCTAGATTGTTCTAAGGCAGTGCCCTATGTGCTGTGCTATCACTCCAGGCCAGGTGATGCTCTTTGCTCTGACTTTTCTCTATTACTGAAGTTCCATCTCAAGAGGGCCACACCCAAGGAGTCAAACAGCTCAAATCTTGGTTGATTATGTTCACTCATGAATAGAAGCTAGACGAAAATCACTTTCAAATGAAGATAATAAATTTCCCTCTGGGGTTAAAAAAAGGGGGGGCACACTTAGGGGTCTTGCCGAAAAATTAAGGAAGAAGTTTTCATAATGTAATGTGCCAAGAATTACCTCCAATCTAGTGAATAATAAATCCCTAGCCCTTCCCTCTAGAAAATCCAATGGAATATCTGGGTCCAAGAATCTAAGGAAAAAGATAAAAAAAACCAAAACCAACTAAAAACAAAACCTTCAGGGTTGGAGAGAGCAAAGAGTAGGACAGAGAGTCTACTGTGCATGTAGCAGACCTGGATTTGATCCCCAGCATCCCATATAGCCCCCCAAGCATCACTAGGAGGATCCCTGAGTGCAGAGGCCAGGAGTAAGCCTGGAGCATCACCAGATGTGACCCCCAGCCACCCCAAAAGAGTCCTCAGGAAATCCTGAAGCAGTTGGTTTGGGGACCACTTTCTCATGTCAGTGAGAAACCTGACTGACACAGAGCAAGTCCTGCCATCACAGGTCTATCCCTCAGAAGCCACATGGTACCACTGAGCTCAAATGTGATGGCATGAACCATTTGTGCCTGGCACCTTTATTACCAAACATGAGTTCAACTTATGTGGGTTTTAGTGAAGCAAGTGAACTTCCCAGAATGTTTCCGTAAAGAAGAAATTTTGATTAGTTGTTTTTTTTGTTTGTTTGTTTTTGGGTCACACCCGGCGGTGCACAGGGGTTACTCGGCTCAGGAATTACTCCTGGTGGTACTTGGGGGACCATATGGGATGCTGGGAATCGAACCTGGATTGGCCGTGTGCAAGGCAAACGCCCTACCCGCTGTCCTATTGCTCTAGCCCCTTAATTAGTTTTTAAAGTGGGAAGAGTTGTTCCAGTTATATTTTCCTCTCAACTGAGAAAAATATGTCATTGGAGTGACATGCCCTTCTCCTTTCCTCTTTAGAACATATCCTTGGGATAAGTTTAAAGGACCCAGGATTCTGTCAAGTCGAAACAAGTAAAATTATTTCACATTTAACAACAGCCACCGCTGAACTGGGAAGATAGTACAGGGGTTGAAGCACAAGCCCTGTGTGTGGCCAGTCCAATACTAAAAAGTTCCCCAAGCATCGCCAGATGCAGTCCTGGGGCTTCTGAACACCATTAGGTGAGCCTGGCAGTCCTTGGCCATGATGGGACCCAGAGCAAGTCCCTTGGCACTTACGCTGACTGTTGGCTGTCGGACAGAGAATTTCTGTGAGTGGCCCCGGGGTTTTGGGGAGTTTCCCTCACCCAAATAGTCACTGCTACTTAAGTAAAACATTAAAATGCCTATTTGAGAGCAGAGTACACATTTGGATTTTATCAGGCCCTAGATTTTTTGGGCTTATTTTTTGAGTCACAACCAGTGATGCCCAGGGGTTATGCCTGGCTGGGCACCTAGAAATCACTCCTGACAGTATTCGGGGGAGTATATGGGGTGCCAGGGATCAAACCCAGGTCGGCTGTGTGCAAGGCAAGCTCCCTCCCCGCTGCACTATGGCTCCAGCCCTATCATCAGCCCTCCCCCCCTCAATTCACTGTGGCATCCTCTCCCTGCCCCCAGTATTGATCTAGAAAACCCTCCACATGTGCTCTCGCACACATGCACATTACTAGCAGCGCTGGACTCAGAATGGCACAGCCCAGCAAGCCACAGGCTGGGTGTGTGGGAAAACCCATGTTTCCTGGGTACTTCCGGAAGCTCCTGGAGTGGCAGCTCTGAAAAACTGGTTTAAGGGGGGGTGGGGTGGGTGGGTTCTGATGGGGATAGGATGCTTTTGGAATCTAAGATGACAGAAGATATTGATGAGCGCTTAGATCCAGGAGGCCCGGCTGAGATTTGAGATAATGGGGCCTTCACGCGTTTCGGGATGGTGCCTTCATTTTTGCGTGCGTGTGGTTTATAGCTTGCAGGGGACATACAGACGGGCGGGTGCGACCATTAAGGGCATGTGCGCCCCATTCTTCCCATGATTGTGGTATGTGTGAGCGCTTGCTTTTTTCCTAGGAGGATCTTTATTTTTTCTCCCCAATCTCATAACTGGCGATACAGATGTTTAATTGAGAGGAATCATTATGAATTACGATTTTTTTTCTTGCAAACTTTCCTGACTGAATCATTTATCGCCTTTATCACAAGTCAATATTGTAAAGTTGAAATTTGAAAAAAAAAAAAACCACACTGCTAACAGGCAATGATAAAGCCTCACTCCCCAACTCAGTTTTTAAAATATGTTCATGCCTCTTTATGAAAAGCCTTATATATTATTGCAAGGGTGCTAATTTTCAGAGTGTAGAAATTTAAAGCCAGAATAAGACCTCGAAAGAGTTCATTACGAAAGAAATGTAGGGGATGAACTCTGTGAAGGCAAAGGGACCGGGCAATTCACAGAAAGGGAAGGTTGGTCAGAGGTAAGATGACTTAAAATTCAAGTTCAAAGCATAAGAAGTTAGGAGCACCTTCGGGGCAGGGAGGGGGAAAATGCCTAAATTAGGGCATTAAAGCTGAACCACTGACCTCTAGCTTTCCAACACTTTCATCACCCCGAGATGCTTTGGGTAAATAAAGCAAGGAAGACAAATTTTACCCAGCTTATGTTTGCTGTTCAACTCTGACCCCTGCCTACTGAGTGACTTTAAGTATCTGTTATGGAAAAAAAATGATCCCACTTTAATTTCCGGCTCTATCCCCATCTGGCCAGGGAGAGGATGAATGAATACCATCATGTTTTATCTCCAGGGCCTCCCGTGCCCTGTGGGACAGTCCGTTTTGATCTGGATTCTGGGCCGAAATCAGAAGAGCGGGATTCAGCCAGGCCAGTTCATGTACCGCCGCTCAGAGCCGCACAACACAACTTGCTCCGAGGATGTTGGGCATTGTGCTTCATTAGGAAACAAAATATAAGCTTTCCACACCATTAGGAATGACTTTAGGAGTGAAAGCACATAAGACGATGCCTCACCTCATCAACAATGCACTGCAGAAGCTGGAAAGGCTGCAGTGGGGAAGAAGAGAGGGAAAAGTATTAGCTTCTCTGCAATATCTTTACAGTGGAGTGGAAAGAAAAAATCATTAATGCAATAAAATATAGCAAGATTAATCAACAACAGCAAACTCTTATAAAAACATCGATGCTCAGGATGTTCTATTATTTCTAATGGTACCTAATCTAATACAGGCAGTTAAAGGTTTGCATTTTCTTCAAAATGCAATTTGCTAAGTTTAAAACAAGGCATTCAAGCATGCAAAGGAAGCAGCCATCAGGAAAAAGAAAAGTGAATTTTTTTCTGAACTCATAAAGCTTACCATTAAAGATCCCTGGTTTTTCTGAATCTGAAAAAAGGCAATATGTAATTAGCATGTCATAATCAAAATGACTCACTTGGACACATTATGATCACTGAGAGAAAATTATTGCATTGCTGGTGGCAATTTGTGGGCATGTGTTAACACAATTTACATAATGAAAATACACAAATGTTAATAGCTTCCTTCTCATTTATAGGCGAAAGTCAGCAGAATGTTAATTTCACACAACACTTTTTAGTACCCTCCAGGTTGTATTAGAATAGGGAGAAAAACCATAATCCATTTCAAAAGGCTGTTTACGATTCAGATATAAATAATGTTTTATATTGCTAGATTGTGAACACTGGGCTTAATGTTGCAATCATTGCTAATGTTATGAAGCTCACTCTTTTTAAATTAAAAACCGATTTATTTAAAATTGAAATTAAATCATAGTCAGAAATTAGAATTTTGGATTCCTGCCAGGGCCTGCTCACAATCCCCTATTTTGTGAAGAAAACTTTAATTATGTGGTTGAAGTGTTTGTTCTAACTCAGGAGTGGGGTGAAGACACACCGCCCTGTCCCAAGTTCCATCGGCCTATTTCTAGGGCAGCAAAGCTCTCTGGGAAAATCAAATTTCTGCAAGTTTTCCACTCTGTTTCAGGGAATGAAAACAAGGAAGAGAGCCTGTCCCTAATCACCATTCTGAAGGCAGGCTGCACTCGCGTCTCACACCCGTAAACAGGATCTCTTAGAAAGTTACTAAAATGTGACACCAAATTAATAAAACATCCACTTAGTAATTAAAGTATTAAACACTTCAGTACCCTCCCCCAGCCCCCGAAAATGCCTGCAGTTATTACAAACTCAATGAAAATTGAGTCCTAGTTACTTCATTTCCTAAGACAAATTCAGGACAAACACGCTGTTGATGAGTCAGTTGTTCTGGAGGATAAGTGAACCTCCACCACGTGCAGGTGAGAGGCCTCAGACGTATTCCGAAGCATGAGTCTTCGAGTTCTTTCATGCACACTCTCATTTTTTGGGGGAGAGGGGACTAATGCTTGGGCGCTGCTCCTGTTTTGGTGCCACTGTCAGAGGTGCTGGGACTTGAACCTGCAGCTCCAATGTGCAAAGCCCGTGGCACCGCCTCCCCAGCCCCCAGCTTTCTCCCGGGATCCACCCCACCACCTGAGGTTGCCAGGACTGTCACCTCCACTCTCTAGTGGAAAAACTAGGCACTACAGAGGCGGGGCCGGCCCACGGTCACAGGGGCAGGCTATGCTGAAACTCCTCTTGCCATCCTCTCCTCAGCACCTGCAGGAGATGTGACCACAGCATGATGTCACCTAAAAACAATTGGATGTGGTATAGCAGGGAGGGCTCTTGCCTTGCACTCGGCCGACACAGGTTCTATCCCAGGCATCACATATGGTTCCCTGAGAATTGGCACTGTCAGGAGTCCCAAGTCAGGAGTGAGTCCTGAGCACTGTCAGATAGGGCCCCCAAACCAAAAAATTGGAAAATACCCCCATAAAAACCAAACCAAAAATCGGATGGGTGGGTATTGGTGAGGTTCACCGATGATCAATGGAGCATGTGGGTCTTCTCAACAGACTGAGTGTCTGCAGGAGCCCGGGGGGTTTTTGATGCTTCTTTTTCAGGTATCACTCAGCTCCACATGGGGTCCACTCAGGGCAGCTCTTGGTCCTTCATGTCTGCTTCCCCACCCCCACCCCCCGAAGCCCCAGGCTACTGCTCCTCAGTCTTAGTTCTACTAAGTTCTCTAAGTTCTCTGTCTGAGTTACCGTTCCTTCTCTTAGTCAATCAGGATGTCCGGCTAAGACTCTGCACTGACCCTGGAAAGGAACACAGCTGTGTGGGATGGCTCAAAGGACCGAGAGCAGCTTCCTGTGTCTGGTCTCTGGCACCGCATGGTTCCCTAAGCACCATGCCACAGCAACCCTGAGCACCAAGTCGTAAGTAGCTCCTGAGCATATCAAGTATAGGTAAACACACACACACAGAGACACACACACACATGTGCACTCACGCATACACAGATACACATACAACTGAACGAAAACACACACACAAGTACGCATGCTCACACACACGTGTGCACACAGACACACACAGACACACACACATGCACACAGATGCACAAAAACACACACACACAAATACAGACACACACAGGGGGTCAAGTAAATAGCTGTGGCTAAACACGATGACCCTGAAAACATGAGGCCCTGAGTCTGATCCCCAAAGCTGCCCACATGTGAGAAGTGCAGTCTCAGTAGTGCTGGTACCTGAGACTGGAGTCACTGCATCAGTGTGTGATCTGGGGATCAGGAGAGAGATCAAGGGCGGGCGCCTGCCTTGGATGTGGCTGACTTAGGTTTGATCCCTGGCACTCCATACCATCCCCCAAGCACTGGCAGGAGTGATCTCTGAGCACAGAGGTAGGAGTAAGCCCTGAGCACCACTGGGTGTGTCCCTCAAACTGAAACCAAACAAAAACACCAGGCGGGCACCATCCCCCCGCGACATCCCCCCCTGTTGTGATCTTGGCACAGCTGGGGGTATGTGTGCACAGCAATTAAAGATGTGCACACACTGCAGCCAGGTATGTGCCTACTCCCGCAGGTGCATGTGAGTGCGACCCCCAGACACCAACACCAAGAGAGATCCCTGCTCCTTGCCACAGTAGCAGCAAACAGAAGAGGCTGCTTTTTAAGTGGGGGGTGGGGGGTGGGGGGTGGGGGTAAAGAAGCCAAAAGGAAGAAGACCTAAGTGCTAGCCAGCCCCCTGGAGTGGTGGAGAACTTTAGTAACAAGATCGAGATAAAGCGCCCTTGAAAGCCCCTGAAAAGCCCAGCTAACTTAGCCAATGAAGTGAGACACCCTTGTGTTTACTTTTATTATTTCAAGTACAAGCGAAGATACAGCTTAGTAAGCCGTTCCTCTTTCAAGAGGAGTTCTTGGTATTGAACAAAGAATATGAAGTCCCTTTTTGGCATCAGAGGGAATGTCTCCCCCTGCATCCCCCCCCCACCCCAGACTTGTAGTAGTTGGGAGTTGGGGCATGACAGATTTTTCGCGGAAAACACGAGGCCAACAATGCAAGGGAGATGTTCCAGAATAAACTCAGAAATGGACTGCACGAAACTGTTCCCAGCAACCTAAGCGTGTATGAACCAAATGAATTGAGGAAAGAAAATGCCCTCATGAACGGAGAGCTCAGAGAAGGTTTCCACTGTTCCTCATCCTGCAGGTTAAAAGCCTGCTTTAAGACAACTGAAAATCGTCCTAACTGAAAATCGTCCTATTTTAACACTTGCTCTAAGAAAGGCAGAAACAGTAACAGCGAAGTATATTTTATGATTCTATAAGCAGACTTTTTCTCTTTTCCCCAGGTTTTTAAAGAGAGACGTTGTTACCGGGTTTTATTATGTAGTTTTGATAGCGACGTATTCTATGAAATCATCTTCATAAATTTTATATTAAGGTAGCAGCACTAGTACCTGAAATTGATTCAAAATGCTTAAGCGACTCAATTACTTTTTAACATTGTTACACAATGCCGTGACTTATATCTTCTATTTCACAGGAATTTGATGATGCAACATCATTGTAATTGATTCATTTTCTCAATTAAATAAAGCTGTGCTTTTCTTCCTATGAACGCCTCACAGACCAGAGTTAGATGTATTATCTCCTTCCTCCATCTCAGATATATTGCCTGAAAGGCTATATTCTGTTCCTCTGTTAATTCCACCAGAAAATTTAATGCCACGGTCATATTTTTCAAATTCTGAGCCGCTGCGGACTCGACTGTATTTATATTGGGCATATTTTTCACTGCTAAACTCTTTGTTGTTTACCTTTCTCAACAGCACATTACTCTTCGGGGGCAGCTACCATAAAACAGATCCCAACCAAGTCAACCTCTGTGTCGCTGCCGATGACTCTGGCACACAGTTCAGGAAAAAGAGAAGCCCCGAGTTTTATAGGGCATTAAAAGTGGTGCTAAGGGCACGCAATATAAAATGTGAGTTCCGTGAACAGAGCCTTAGCGTTAGTTTCAGAGCCATGAATCCCGGCTCTTCCTTCCAAATGCTTATGGGGTACATGCGGGGTTCAGAGGAGCATATAATATTGTTAGGGCTGATGCATGGCCTTCCCCCACACCATATGAAATGCTGCTTATAACCCACGGCCGCTTACGCACTGTGCCTGGGCGCAGCTCCCTACGTCTAACTAACACTTTGCGGTAATGAACAGAACACTGAGCAGAGTTCTAGTTGAACGCTGTTCTAATCTGGTCTCTAAAACTAGTAGCATCTGAAGACACTAATTAGATGGAACTTCTTCCCTTCTCGGGGACTGTTTTTCTTTTGCTAATGGCTAATGACTAGGTAAAAGACTAAATTTTTTCATTTAATCTTTTGATTTAAAAACATTTTTTCCCCTGTTTTTATTTGGACCACTTCCGGCAATGCTCGGGGGTGCTTGGGGGACCATACGGGATACTGGGGATCAAACTCAGGTCAGTTACGTGCAAGCCAAGTGCCCTGCCCACTGTACCATCTTTCTGGCCTTCAATAAGTTTTCTTTCCTGCTCTTTTCTTTCTTTCTTTCTTTCTTTCTTTCTTTCTTTCTTTCTTTCTTTCCTTTTTTTTTTTTTTGGCCACAACCAGTTCTCAAGGGTTACTCCTGGGGTATTTGGGGACCATGCAGTACCGGGGATTGAACCCAGGTCTCAGACATGCAAAGGCACAAACTTTGCTGTTGAGACATGTTCCCTGGCCCTAGTAAGACTCGGAAACACATAAGCAGGTAATAGTTACATCTCAGCCTGATGGAACACAAGAATCACATGTTTCAACAGGGAAGAATGACTTCACCAGAGGCAGGCATAAGTGAAAATTTATCGCATTTCCTTGCGACCATCCGAGAATTGGCAATTAGGAAAGCTCCTGTAATATGACTTAGGGCTTTGGAGAATGAGCCTGGAACGGAAATTGCCAAGATAGACGTT